TGGTTAGAAGTTGTATTAGATATTGCATCATATATTACTAACTTTAGTAATGAGTACTATGCTAGTGTGTCATTAGTCAAGATTCCAGGCCTCCTTGCTGTATCAAGCTAGAAGTGAAAATGATTGTCAGTAGTATACCCACATGTAAAAATGGATACATTGGAAAGCCTTTGGTGCTTATGCTACAGATAATACCAACTTTGGTAGTACTATATAAGACAAGTAGTATACTGTGAAGTAACAACCAGAATTTTGATAAATCTGGCCATACCCATTTGAAAAGGTTGTGGTTTGAGATATAGATTGTGTTATAGCAGAACCATAAAAGTTGGCTTAAGATACAAATATAATGGTGATAATACAACATGTATCCATGGTACTAAATCAAATATAAGGCTATATATACCAATTTGGAAGCAACAAGAGCAAAAAACTGTCAGAATAAACCAAACTAGAAGAAAAAGAAAGTTGTTACAGGAAGTGGATAGAGGAACAAGGTACTAATAACAACACAGAAACTATATATAAAAAAAAAAGTAGGTTGTACACTAGCTAGAAGTTGATTGATGGGGTAATAGCCATTGATTAAATTTTAATATAGTGAAAATACAACTAAATTGTTTAGAATGGGTGTCATTAATTAGTCTAATATAGCACAACTTAATTTCTATAATATACAATATGTAATAAGTTCTTAAGTTCTTAATTAATAAAAATTATAGCATATAAGCAATTTATTAATAAAAAAAAAAAAAAAATTTATTTATCAGAGAATAGACAATTCTTTCTAATAATCTCTTGTACCAAAAATACAACAAACTTTTTTTTAAAAAAACAGTAAACTATAGCAAAAAGAAAAAGTATAAGACTGACCAAAACCATAAACTAGTATCTATTGTTTAGAAATAGTTCTTATATGCTATCTGCTAATAGGCTTAGAGCTTATTACTTATCATGGAAATGGCATTTGTTATTTAGAAGTAGTTCTTATATACTACTTGCTAACAAGTTCAGGGTTTATTACTTACCAACAAAAAAGGTAGCAGTTCACTTGGCATTATATATTCTACTACTTTTAGAAAAAAAATATATATTCTTTAAAAAAAAGTACAAGTGCTATTCTTTATATTATCACCTACTTGCTCTTTCTTCAAAATTTTCATAAAAAGTAGACAAAATAGCTTACTCCTATCAAAAGATTAGCATTATTTACTTCTTTTAAATTTGGATAATCTAGTAGATTGCAACTATATATTTTGTTTACTAATAGATATAGTGCTACTCTATAGGTTTAGGCTCTTGGTTAAAGGAATATCCGAAAATAGTTATATAATCAGAAAGAAATTTATATATTAAAACAAAGCTTTACAGTAGAGATATATAAATATTGCACTTGTTATATAATTTTTTTCAAACTTTTCACAAGCTATAATAGTGTTTTTTAAGGTTTACTCTTTCTTTTAATTAGGATTAGAGCAATCAAAGTAGCTTTTTTTTTTTATTTTGTTTTTTGTTTTTTTTTTTTTTTTCTACCTTGTCTTCTTGTTATTCTATTTTGATTTCTTTCCTGTTTTTTCTTTTTACCTTTTATATCTTTTTAACAAATAATTATAGTCCATTTATATATTCTTTTTTTTATTTAACTTTATGAGAAGAAAGAGAAATTTAAAAAAAAGAATACTTAAGTTTTTTGATATAACTTTCTAGTTTGTTATTTAGATATATTAGTGCAGCAGGTTGTACTTGAGTATTTTTAGAATATTTGGACAATATTAGACTTATTAAATTAGATTAAAGTATTAATTCTTTAAATTTTTGCTATATATCTAATAAAAATACTAGCAAGACTGTCTAAGTATAAATATATATATATATATATATATATATTAATTTATTTTATTTATTGTTTTTTATAAGTACTGCCAAAAAAAACCTATAGTTTAAAATCTCAAATTATTTTATACTAGATACAATTTCTAATAAATTAGATAGTATTTAGTAAAAAACATATTTGAAATTTCAAATCATAGTTTTTCTTTGGCAGTATTTATATATTTTCCAAATTAATTATTAATATTTTTTATTTTATATTTTAATATAAAGAATCTTTGGCTTTCATGATACTATCGTATTAATATAATTATTTATAATTTTATAAGGGGGCTGGTAATCGTACCCCCCACATTTGGTATTCATACCCTCTCAGAAAAACAAAAAAAAATTAAAATCTAAGCAAAGATATATCGATGCCCACCTGATCAAACTCAATAAATTTTTTTTATTTAAATTCTACAGATTTGTAAAATTCAAATAAAAAAAATTTTGTTGAATTTGGTCATGTGGTCGTCGAGATATCTTAGCTCAAAGTCAAAGAAAAATCAAAACATCTATCAAAATAAAAGGTGTGCCAAATTATTTTTAAAACTTTGAGCAAAGATATCTCGACAGCCACCTGATCAAACTCGATGAAAATTTTTTTATTTGAATTTTACAGATTTGTAGAATTTGATAAAAAAATTTGTCAAATTTGGTCATGTGTTCATCAGGATAACTTTGTTCAAAGTCAAAGAACAATCAAAAACTTCTATCAAAATAGAAGCTGTGCCAAATTATTTTTAAAATTTTGAGCAAAGATATCTCAACAACCACCTGATCAAACACGATAAAATTTTTTTTATTTGAATTTTACTAACTTGTAAAATTCAAGTAAAAAAGTTTCATCATGTTTGATTAGGTGGTTGTCAAGATATCTTTGCTCAAAGTTTAAAAAATAATTTGACGCACCTTCTATTTTGATAGACATTTTGATTTTTCTTTGACTTTGAGCAAAGATATTTTGATGACTACATGACCAAATTCGACAAAATTTTTTTTATTTGAATTTTACGAATCTGCAGAATTTAAATAAAAAAATTCATTGAGTTTGATCAGGTGGGCATCGATATATCTTTGCCTAAATTTTAATTTTTTTTGTTTTTTCTGGGGGTATAAATACCAAATATGGGGGTATGATTACCAGCCCCCTTTTATAAATTTAAATCTTTTGTTTTTTAAATAATCTATAGTTATCTGGCATGAGATATGTCCTTTTACAGGGGTTTAAAATGTTGTCAAATATAAATCAAATGAGTTAACTCATCCAAATTTATATATAAAATTTGATAAAAAAAATACTTTTCTTTAATTGATAATCCGCCAGTCAACAGAAGAATAAACATAGTGTAATGTGATGCAAATCACTATGTAAATCCAATATAGTGCGAATCTAAAAAATTTCTACTGTTCGTCCAAAGAAAACATTTTTTTGTACTAAGTTAATCAATTTTATAAATTAATTAAAAGTTGTAGAGCTCTTCTTTGCGGTTCTAATGGTGGTTAAATAATCCAAATCGGCCCAGTGGATACCGAGATATCTTTAAAAAACGTGTCAATGACTATATTAAATCTTTATGTAAACAATATAGAGATTTTATATAATCATTGATGTGTTTTTTAATAATATCTCGGCATATACTAGGCCGATTTGGATTATTTAACCACCATTAGAACCACAAAGACGAGCTCTACAACTTTCAATTAATTTAGAAAATCGATTAACTTAGTACGAAAAAATGTTTTCTTTGGATGAACTTAGAAATTTTTCAGATTCACACTATATTGGATTTACATAGTGATTTGTATCACGTTACACTATGTTTATTCTTCTGTTGACTGGCGGATTATCAATTAATTTATTTAATAAAATAAATATAAAAAATAATTTTAGATATAAGACTTATATTTTTTAGCATTTAATAATTCTTTATCAAAAGTTATAAACCTAAATATCAAATAGTTTTAAAAAGATCTTGCTTTAAAGTTGGTATATTTTTTGTCTTTACAATCTCTGTAAAATTAAAGCTATAATATAATTAGCTAAAGCAATTTTTTGAAAATTAAAGAAAGTTCTACTAACTGCTTTTTGAGTTTTAACAAAAAAAATTTCTTACAAAATTTTAATATACTGTTGGCCCTTCCCAAACCAATCCTGTCAAATCTAATATCCTGCCATAATCAGTTAAAAATTGATTTACCAGGCCTGTTCTCTAATTCATACCCAATAACTTGCCATTTTTAATATTTAATAGGCCAGATATATAAGTTCCTGATTTGTTACATGATTGTTGGCCAATTAAAATCGTGAATTTTAATATGATTACGAATATACAGTGTATATATAGATCAGTGGCTTTTTTATATTAAATAAAAGATTTGCTAATGTAGTTTTATTTTATTTTTGTTGGTTTTACAATTAACTCAATTCATTAAGACTTAGAGAGTTGTGCTTAGAGAGTGTTAACTGTAGAGTGCAGTTTTATTTAAAACAAAATTTCTCAAAGAATCTGTTCTCCTATATAAATATTTTAGTAAAAAAAAAAATCAAGTTTTGAAGTATTGTTCCAATTTATTTTGGACTTGTTTATCAGCTTTTTCTTTTCAAAATTCCTCATGAATACAGGATTGTAGCTTGCATAATGATTTCATTGTTACTCTATCATCATCGATCCTTTCATTAACAATTCTTAAAGCACTACATAAAATGTTCAATTGTTTTTCCCCAATTAGGGTGGCACAACAAATTTATCATCTACCTGTTCAATTTCTGTAGCAGTATGAATTAGATCTTTATTGGTAAACTAATGGTGTACTTCTTGTTCTTCTTCAAGGTTTAGCAAGTCTTTAATTGGCATTGGATTATGAATATGCAATAAATTTATTTGCTGTTAGAGTTCCTTAACTACTAGTTCATTATTTGGATCAAAAGGTGGGGTTTTTTTTACATCATTAATATCTTCATTAGTAATAGGGGAGATGATAGGTACACTATTTTCATCACAAGGGGATATAACTTTTGTGTAAAACCAACACCTTTTGATTGTTTTAGCTGATACTTCACTCCAGGCAATATTAGTCTATTTTATAGCCTATAATTAGTGATATCAGTTAGGCTAACCACATTTTTTAATTTTTTTTTTTAACAATTTTCAACTTTACCTGCAATTGATTGACTTTATATATATCTTTCATCTCAGATAAATTGCATATTGAAGCTGAAAATGACGATAATGAAGCTTGAATGATGCAATGATGCTGGCATTCATGTGTTGAATTTTTGATGTTATATATAGAAACAACAAAAGTACTTTTACATTAGTAAGAGTAATAGCACTAGTAACATGCGAGGGGGTACCATTAAGAATAAGTAAAATATTACAATTAGATTGTCTCATTTCTTGATTAAATTTTTGTAACCATTCTTGAAAAAATATGGCAGTCATCCATGCTTTTTTATTATTATAGTAATAGAATCCAAGTTCTTTACCTGTTTTTTTTTTTTTTAAAACATCTAGGTCTTGTGGCATTTCTAATGATTAAGAGTTCAAGTTTGTAGGTGCTATCTGCGTTGGCCATAAACACAATCAAAATTCTTGTGCAATTTTTTTTAATCTTTCAATCTGGCAAGATACAATTATGCAATCAGATATCATAGAATAAAATAGACCTGTCTTGTCCATATTGTAAATATCATGAAGAGGATATTGATTAGTAGTATCAATAATATCAAAAAGATTTAGGATGATGGTAGCAATATTAGCAGAACCACTTTCACCATGCAACTTAAAATAGTGAAAATTATGCCTTTTTTGAAAAGCCTGCAACTATCCATTCGAAAATTCAGGCTGATCATTTTTAGGAATATTCATCAGGTTTGATAATCGCTTGCTTTTAGCTTTAATCATATCTCTATTTAAACATATAACCTGATGTTCACACTGCAGTACCCAGTTCGCCAAAGCAGTGTCTAGCTCAAGAAATGTAATAACATGACGTTTTTTAACCCCAAGGTTACTTGAAGACATTTTACTAAACTTATCTTTCTTTTTTAAAATATTAGAGATTGTACTTTGGCCAAGAGCTTTTACTAGATTAAATTTATTTTTAGCCCACTTAGCAAGTTCCTTCTGAGTAATTGTCAGATTTTTTAGGTAATTATTTTTTTTTAGTCATTACGCAAGTTTTCAGCTAAAATAACTTTATCTTTTTTTTTCCTATAATAATGGCAAAATTAATAAGTTGTATAATTTTATTATTTTAGAAAGTTTTTTTTTAAAATAACAAGCTTAATATTATAGAAGTGTTATGATTTAAAAGCGAAGATAGTTAACTAACAGAAAATGATAAAAAATTTTATTAGTAAGACACAGGATTTTTAAAGTGGACACTATTAACCTAATAATATCTTTTTTTTTATTATTTTATTATTTTATTTTACAATTTTCAAGATGACTTTTTTTTTTTTACTTATTTACTTTTTTGATACTGTACATTATCTTTGAATATTTCATCCAAAAAGAATTTGGTATATTATTCTTTTTCATAAATTTGAAGCTAATTAATAATATTTTTAAGAATATAAACACATTCACATTTAGAAACTATCTGATTTGGTTTTATTGCTATTCTAACTTACATTTTAATACTCCTTTTCTGGTTAGTCTACCGAACCAGATTGGTAGATTGGCGCAAACATTCCTTAAAAATAATAAATAAATAAATATCAATTGTTGGCAATAACCCAGTTTTCAATTAAAAAGGTGTATGCATGTAATGGCAAATGTGGAAAATTTTTTAAATGTAGCAATTTGTTTAACTTATGCAGTTAGATTATGCATTTATATGTACAATATTTCTATTTATTATAGTGCTTACTATAGTTTTTTAAAAAAGCTTTTTTCTAATTTCAAATTTGGCAATCTGATTGGTAGATTAGTTACCCGTCAGTTACGTGATTTTTCCAAATCCAATAATTTCTCAAAGCTGATACAGAACTTATCTACTATGTATACTGAGTTGGGGAGGGCCAACAGTATATTATACTCTACTTTAACTGCTAACTACTAACCTAATCTTTACTCTAATTCTAATCTAGAATTAATTTTTTCATATATATAAAATCTTTGTTATACAAATTTACAAATTATAATTTAAAATATATATATAATAAATTAGTATATTGTATAGTGTAATATATATATTTATTCTTTTATAATAATATTATTTCTAAGAATATTACTACTATAAATAGAAGATTTTAGTTTACAAATTTCCAAATTTTAATAAAATTGATAGTAGCTTTGAAAACTTTTATTAGTAATATATTTTTACTATATATATAAAATTCTTTTATACTACTAAGCTTATAAAGTAGAAAAAATAATTTATTTTTATTTATTTTTTTTTTTTAATGTTTAAGGTGAGGCCATGCTCTTATCTTTATTAAACTTAATGAAAACTTTTTACATGATTGGAAAAGGTTTTGTGTTTTAAGTCTAGTGCTAAGGAAAAAATAATTTATATTTTTTCTATATTTAAAATTATTATATAATTAATTTTAATATAATATATATTAGATATTAATAAAAAATTTTTTAAATTTATATATATTTTATTAGTATATTTATAAAATAAAAATATTTTTTAGAAAGATAAAACTTATAAGCAAACTATTATTATAAAATATTAAAATCTGATTGGTTAGCTTATTGTTACCTTTTGTTATAGGAGGTTTTTTTTTTAAGAGAGGTTTTTCCTCTATTTCTTTATTTCAAAATATATAATTTGAGTACAACTAGTATTAATTTATATATTTAACAAAAAGGAGTAGAAGTTAGGGCTAGGATTTACTTTTAACCTATTCTTAGCTAGAATAGCTAAAAAAACCTCTAGACTATATAATTTGAAAGGGGAGATACTGAGTTATAGTGAATAAAAGCGTTAAGCTATAAGTAAAATTTTCTATTTACTGAACAAAGGTGAGTATTATTTTCTAAAGATGTAATGATAACTAGTAGGTTTGGAGTATTATTTTGTGTTCACATTCAACTTGGTTTTTATATTTCTTTATATATGTTTTTGATGATTGTGTGATAGATTTGTGGAATTAATATAGTGCTTTGAGAGAGTAGTTTTAATTTTTGTACTATTTTCGAGTCAATAAAGCCAAGTAGAATTTATTTTTAGATATGAGTTGTTACAAACTCTTGAATGAAGTCTCTGAGTAGTGGTATATTCATGCTATTTGTTTGGTATATGTTGGTTATTACTTTGGATATGATATCTTGAATATTTGTCTGATTATGTTGACAGGTAAGCATGTGTGAGGTGTCTTCCAGTATTTTTGTATATTTTGCACAGAGGGAGTTAGGATGTGTAGTTGGGTTTCTCTGATAAAGATGTAGATAAGTTGGTAATTCAGAAGTTAGTAATTTTATTTTAAATGTTTTAAGGTTGATTTGGTTAGGCAAGTATTGTGGCTAAGTGGATTGTTTTGATAGTTGAGATAGTCGAATGTGAGTTTTTAGTGAATGTTTGGGAGTTGTTTTATTATTGCTTTGATTTGATTTTGTTCGTTTTATTTGATGATTGCTTTGGCTCTTTGGATAATTTTGAGCAGCTAATGAATTGAATATGTTGCAGAAGTTCTATTAATACATGAAATAAAGTTTGAACTTATTACTATTTGAGGCATAAGATTAGTATGTAATTGAAAGTTAGGTGTTAGTATTTTAATTTTGTTTTCTGTTAGGTTGATATTTATATTATAGTTTTTTTTCAAAATGATTGCTCTTATCATAGATATAATATTGTTGAAGAGTATTTTTTAAAGGTGTTGTTGGTGATATGAAGAAAGGCTTAGTATAGATTGTATTTTGAATTAAAGCCAGCTTTTGTTAGTAATAATAGTTATTTTTGTTTGAGAGAGAAGAATAGTGTATATTACTGCTAATGCTGTGAAAGTTGCATAGGTATGAGAAGGGAAGGATATGTTTGTTATGTGCCAGACTTGTTGGTTGTATTAGAGCTACATTTGTGTAAAAGGGGTTTTGGTTTTGTCTATGTTTTTTACTTTTTTTGATTTAATGGTAATGTATAATTGTAGGTGTTTTAGAAAAGTAGATTTGGTATATAGTTTCCATATCTGTGTCTGTATGTTTTTGAATAGTTGTAGAAAACAATAAGTTGTACAGTAATCCAAAGTTGGCAAAGCAGAACGAGTATTGTACAATGGTATAAGAGGTCAAAATAAGCAGCTTAGTTGTTTATAGATTTGTCTTCTGCAATTAACTTGGATTTTGTAAATAGATTATATTGATATTTTAAAGTAGCAGTATTTAGTTTTAAGTGAGTAATCCTTCTCTTGACAGCCAAGGCATAGAATGAGTTGCTTTGGATTAAGTAGATGAGAAGTGTAGTGTTTAATTTTTGCTAGATTGTTTGTTAAACTTGTGATTTTGCCAAACTTTTTTCCACAGGTAATAATCTATTTGCCAGTAGATAAGTTAATTGGTACAAATATAAAGGGATTCAGAAAGATCAATGTGGTTGATGGGTTTGAGGACTGAACTATTATATCTGTAATGTTCTTGAACCAGTGAGGAGTTTTTTCTTTAGGAATTTTTTGGATATTGTGAAGAAAAGAGTGCTAGTTTAGTGTATAGGTGTTTGTGTAATCTAGAAATTGCTCAATATAGATAATGTTGTGTATATTTAGCTTGCTTTTTATAGCCACAGGGTGTTTAATAGAGGATAGAATTGAGTTGATCAAGGTATCTTTAAATTGTTTGAGAATTGGCTATGGATTAGTTTGATGAAACAATTGAATATTAAGCTTGTGAAGTGTTATTATTGATTGAGCAGTGTTAGTTTTGTATTTCTTTGCAGAAAGAATTAGTTTTTTTGAAAAAATAGATAGGTTAGAATTAGCAGCATTCTGGAGTTGTTGTAGTCAGATTTTGATACTTGAGTTGTTGAAGTCTGGTGCATAAATACTATAATCCAAAGTTCTAATTTGTTGTTGTTGTTGGATATTATAAAGTATATTTAATGCATAAATCAGAGGATAGTGTAAAGTAGAGTTGGGTGTTGATCACGATAATTGTGCCTTCTGTTTAACTATGTTTGTATAGAATTTTGTGATTTTGGAATATGCAGATTTTGTTAGATGTGTGCTTTGCATTTGGTATGCTGCACATATTAGGATTATATTGTTAATGATATAGATTGCTTGTTTGTCAGTGATTTTTGCATATTGAATTTTTTTTAAATTTGAGATGATTTTGTTAGTGATGAGACTTTTTGCTACTTTTAAGGAGGGATTTTGTGTGAGCCAAACACCTAGGTGGTAAAAAATGTCCTTGGGTTTAATGTTTGTAATTTGTTGTTCTTGGAAGGTAATAGAGGCTTGTGGGTCTAAGTTGTTAGAAATTAGAGTTGATTTGTGTGTGTTGATCTTGATACTTGCAAATAAGAGGAAGGAGTCAACTATTTTTAATATATCTTGTAATTCATTTTTGTTTTTGGTAATCCAGACTATATCATCCATGTATGCTACTATGGAGGCATGTGTTGCTATTGTGTTGTTAGAGATATTTGTGTCTAGCAAATAATCTTGAAATGTTATATTGATTTGGCTGATTAGGAAGACATAGTAGATTCTCCAAAGTATTGGAGAGAATGTTTCTCCTTGGCCAATTCTGTCTTGTACTTCATAGGGTTTTGTTCTTTCTATATCCATTATTACCATATTTTTCTTGCTATTAAGGAGATGGATTAATAGATTGATAAATTTTTGTAGGATATAAATATGTTGCATATTTTGGTAAGGAGTAGTATATGAATGGCATCGTAAGCCTTTGACATGTTT